AGTTAGCAGGGAAAATTCGCGTCTGCGACGCTAAATTATGTCCATGAAATCCCCATGGCATTTGAGTTTGCCTGTAATTAGCGGAGCGGAATTAATCTACACGCTGGGAATCGAGTTGGGTGGGCAAATTAGGCGGGCCATGTGCAGCGAACAGCCTGCGGGCCGGGCTGCCGGCAGCCCGGGCTGCCAGCGGCTGCCCGGCTGCCGCGAGAGGCCGACAGGACGGGGGACGAAGGGGGGAGGGCGGCAGGTCGAGAAGTCCGGGCTGCCGGCAGCTGCCTGGCTGCCGCGAGAGGCCGACAGGACGGGGGACGAAGGGGGGAGGGCGGCAGGTCGAGCAGCCCGGGCTGCCGGCAGCTGCCTGGCTGCCGCGAGAGGCCGACGGGACGGGGGACGAAGGGGGGAGGGCGGCAGGTCGAGCAGCCCGGGCTGCCGGCAGCTGCCTGGCTACCGCGAGAGGCCGACAGGACGGGGGACGAGGGGGGGGGGGCGGCAGGTCGAGGGGAGCAGACGGCAGGGCAGGGGCAAGGCGACGAGAGCACAAGAATGTAAATCTTCCGAGGGACGGATGGTGTGGAAGAAGCTTTTCGTTCGTTTTATGCGACCAACTGCTGTGTAAGAATTCAGTGATGAGCAAACGCGCACGTGGCAAGCTCTCACTAGTAGCTGGAGCTTGTTGCGATTTTCTTCACCATCTTAAACCCGCCAGGCACGTTGCAGCGCGTGGCCCGCCGCGCCAACTCCCCTCCCCCCCCCCTCATTAGCTGCGCCTGCGGGCCGCAGCCGGGCCCGCAAACAGCGGTTCCCGGGTCCTCCCCCCCCCCCCTCCCACCCCCACTGAGGATACCGGGACGGGGGCGGGAGCAAACCCGGCGCCCGGCCGTAAAGGCTCGACGGAGGCTGCGAGCTGCCGCAGTAAAATGGCCCACCCCGGCGCGGTGCGGAATTTATCGGCACATGATAGCAGGGCGAGAAATTCGCTGGCAGAGATAACTGGCTGTCATAAAACGCTGAAAGTTCGATGGTGGTCTCTTGATAACGTGCCATTAGGCCAAACGAAGCGGGCGTCGGCAGGATATCTGGCGGCCAAGCGTCGGGCACGGCGTGGTTTATGGCCAACGAGCTTAGTTGGGGCCGTGACGGCCTCACTGTCGCCGTTCTGGCAACTTTATGCAGGCGGGAGCGCGGGCATTTCTGCAGTTGAGAGGTTCTCGTCCTGGACGTCGGCCCCTTAACGCTGTAATATGCTGAAAGGAGAGGAGAACAATCAAAACGCACGGACAGACTTAGAGCGGCAATGCACTGTGTGACGTGGTGAGAGCCTCGATAAGGACTGAAAAGACAGGTTTAAGAACGAAACAAAAACGGAAATAAAAAATTGTGGATAACAAAAGATCAATATCACAACGGCGAGGCTCGATGGACGACTGCGGTTCAAAGCAAGGAGTGACTCGATCAGAACATTCTCACTGCGGCCAAGCAGAGCCCGCCAGGCCGGCCAGCGGCCTGTGTCTGGGCCGCCGGCTCGAAGTGAGAAGCTGTGACGGCGCTAAGTAGAGAGTGAGTGAGAGGGCGGGAGCCGGGCGTCGCGCGCGCGCGCCCGGCCTCTGGCCGTTCCCATGTCGTCGCCGGCGGCGCGGCCCGCGTTTTTTCGCGGCGTCGGCGGCGGCGCGCCTCCGCGCCGGCCCATAAATTCGGCGGCGGTAACGAGACAGGCCGGTGACGCGGCGGCGGACCCACCGCAGACCGCTGGCAGCCGCGCCGCCGCTGACGCGCCGCCGCCGCCGTCGACGACGGAGCCGTCGCTGACTCATGCCGCGGGTGACGGAGTGACGCGCCGGCGGAGACGGCCACGGAGACGGCCGGGTGAGCCTGGTCGGCTGTAGGGCAGAGGCGGCCACGGAGACGGCCGGGTGAGCCCGGCAGGCTGTAGGGCAGAGGCGGGCACGGAGACGGCCGGGTGAGCCCGGTCAGCTGTAGGGCAGAGGCGGTCACGGAGACGGCCGGGTGAGCCCAGCAGGCTGTAGGGCAGAGGCGGCTGCGGAAACGACCGGGTCAGCTCGATCGGCTGTAGGGCAGAAGCGGCTGCGGAGAAGGCCAAGTCGGACCGGCAGGCTGTAGGGCAGAAGCGACCGTGGAGACTGCCGACTTAGCCCGGCAGGCTGTAGGCAGAGGCGGCAGGCAGCCACGGAGACGGCCAGGCCAGCCCGGCCGGCTGTAGGGCAGAAGCGCCTGCGGAGAAGGCCAAGTCGGACCGGCAGGCTGTAGGGCAGAGGCGGCTGCGGAGATGGCCGGGTCAGCTCGGCCTTCCGGTGACGAAAAAAGGATCTGCATGCGTTTGGAACGACGGCTGCGCGAGGTTGTTGTCTGGGGGTGGGGGTGGGGGTGGGGTGGGGAGGGGTGGGGGGTATTTGGTCAGATTCCCTCGACTGATTCAGCTAAGGGTAAAGGTAGAAACTCGAGTTTTTTCCGAATGTCTCTGGGCACCACTTCATGTGTGTAGGCACATGATCCAAGCAATTTGACACATTGACGCTGGTTGGAGCCGGAAAATCATACAACAGCTGATCGTTGCATACCGAGTTCCACAGAGACCGCTTAAGAGCAGAACAGAACGGCGACGATGTCGCTGTGCCCTTCCCGTCCCTGTTTTCCTTGTGTCACCTTGTGTGTGTCATCTTGTTCCTTGTATGAGAAATGCATGGCTATCCAGCCGACATACGAAAGCTGCCAAATTTGCTTGGTTTGATGCCCACAACACATTGCTCTGGCGGCAAATTCGCCTCATTTTTCCTGCTGAGTTAAGTGAACGTCTGAGGTGCCACGGGGGGGGGGGGGGGCAATGTAAACAATCGCAGCACTGCATTGTTTTGAGAAAATCCTTGACATCTGCTGTGTGTTGTACGTCGTAACGTGCAGTGCTCACGTTTGCCGGTCGAGCCATTACCGCTATCGATGAAAAGCTCGTTCATCCGTGGCATGATTGTTCCAAAGCTCGCCGAGTAAAAAATCAGTGCAAGCGGCAGCGCCTTATCACCAAACAGGCGACACTTTCCCAATTACCGCCAGCGAATCGCCACCTGACCCGTCGAGCCGTCCCTGCTGACCTCCCAGGTCCGGATGGTGCGCATCCCACCCAGCCCGTGCGCAGCCTTTCTCCCGAGATGACCTCCGCCCGGCGGGGCTCGCACTGTCCCCGTTCCGGCCCCGACTGGGTGACAAGTGGGCGCCGAGCGGCCCGGCCGGGGTCGGCCGGCCGCGGGGCGGTGGTCTGTCTCACCGGCGCCGCGCAAACCATTACCATAAGAATGCCGACGGTTTATTAATTTGGAGACGGGCTGCGTCGGGCGACCGTCACGCCCCGCGCGCCGGGATAAATCGCAGCCGTGTATGAAAACATTACCTTAAACCACAATGCCCATGGCTCACGCCGGGATTTAGATGTCAGTCGGAGCCGGTGGGGGGCTGGAAACCCCCGGCGCCGCGACAAAGCCCGGCGCACGTTTTTTGTCTCCGCCACCGCCGGGAATCAAAATGATAACTTGGGACCACACGGGCGGCCGGTGGCGCGCCAGCCCGCGGGGCGCCCTCCTCCCCGCGGGGCCGGAGGAGGCGGCTTTGACCAGCTGGAGAGCCGGCTTTATGCCGGCGACGCCGACAAACTAGCCGCTGCTCCTCCCGCGGCGGCCGAGGGCCGACCGGCGCCCCAACCCAGTTTACGACGACGCGGCGTAGGATAGGATCTGGCGTGCATTGTGCGCGGATTGCCGACGGATGGAGTGTGGCGGCCGCCGGTCGGCTCGGGCGCCGGCTGATTTATCGCTTTATAGCGTCACATTACCGACCCAGTGACCGGCGGCCCAGGTGTAAAATAGGGGTGGTCAGAGCGGCATCAATAGCCGTAAACGTCGCCGCACCGCATAATGGCTACACGATAGCACCACATGCCACACGGGGCCCGGCTGCGGACGAGAGAAGGGAGGGGTGCAGGGGCTGGGCTCCACCCGTGGGCAGCTGGAGCGTTCGAGGGATGAGCCTACAGTGCCATCAGGGGAGATAGTCACCAGGCGTGGCGGATGTGACACATTCTGCACTCACGCCCTGCCAAATTGCTCGGGATCCAGGACCGTGTCGTTGAAGAGTTGTGTTCGGTGTTGGCTCATGGACTGGTTATGTCCCTTTTGCTATGTTTCACGGCCTTGCTCCTTCATGCCTCACCCGGCTCTTTTAGCTGAAGCGTGTTCAGGTCAAGCTGGGCTTATTCTGTCTTAGCGTGAAAGTATGGATCATAGACCCCCAAGCCACCAATCAGCCATGAGCTCTTGCGGGTCAAATAACGCCAGCAGGACCACCCAGACATTGATTATCTCGTACCAGATTACTGCAAGTTTATGTCCTGCCTGTAAAGTTAACAATGCATTGAACGGGGCAACTTTTACTGCTCATTCACATATCGTATTTTGTCTCTTTATGCAGACCAGCAATGGCGCCTGTTCCGTCGAGGCTCTAACAAGAAGGGATAGGCGGCGTTTCAGCCAAAGTGGCACCATTCCAAGAGCCGCAGGATGGATAACAGGTGGCTGTCGTCGTCGGACGGGCACTGATTAACAGCCAACGTTTGAGGCATGAAACACGTGGTCTAGTGATGCACCTGTCATTATCTCGCTTTCTCCCTCAGCTCCTTTCTGGCTCCCATTTGCTTTTTTCTCGCTTCTCCCCCCCCCCCCCACACTCTTCTGTCTCCCTTCCCTCTCTCTCTCCTCCCCTTTCATCTCACTTGCTCTTTCCTTATTTGAGTTTCTATCTGATCGCTCATCGTCATCCTCTTTCTCGCCCTTTTTTCTCCTCCCTCTCTTTCCTTTCCCTCCTCTACCTTCCATCTCTCGCCCTCTTTCCCTTTCCTCTCCCTCTCACACCAGTCCCCCTTTCCTCCTGTCTGTGCGGGTGGCGCCACACCACATCGCAGTGTGACGGACAGCTTCAGCTCCACGCCGCCGCAGTGCCCATACACCGCCGCTTCGTCACCACCTTGGTGATCACCACCAAGCGACGCCACCTCGCCACCACCTGGTGATCACCATCGAGCGCCGCGCCGATCACGCCGCCGCCGCGCCGTAAGCGCCGCGCTCCCGGCCGCCCCAGCTGGCGGGCCGTGTGACGGCTCACTCGCGGCCGCCGTCGCCCCGCACGCGGCACGTCTCTGCCCCCGATGACGGGCCGCGGCGGCCGATATCGGCCGCCGGCTGGCCTATTACGGGCTTTTTGCGTCGCCAGACGCGCTGTTCGATGACGTACGTGACGACCGGGCGCCGGCACATGTGTGGCCCGCGTGCAGGTGAGGGGGGGGGGAGGGGGAAGGCACGTGCGGCGGCGGCTCCAACTGGTTTTAACAACACCCGCCTGTCAAAACCATGGCTCGCCGCTGTTGTTTGTGAGCTCATTGTCGGGTCAGAAGCGGAGAGCATGGCGTGCATTCCCGGGTAGTTGCCTGACTGTTCGCGTGATCATGGAAATTTTCATCTGCTTCGGATACCCGAGCCTCGCTTGATCTGAAGAGAGTGTCAACCCGACAGGTGCGGAATGCTTCTCGGTGAGGATCTTACCTTTGTTTAGCCGTCTATTTATGACTGGAAAGGCAGCGATCGACAAGGTTCAGTTCCCACGTCAGTCAGTACCGCGGTATTGGCACGGCGCTGAGCTGCCTTCTGACGGCCGCTCCAGCGGCGGCGGCTCTCTGCGGATGCGCCCGGGATCAAAGTGGCGGCCGGCGCGCTTGTCTGCACTGACGGCTGCTGCACGACTAATGCCTCAATCATATTCCGCACCTGACGGTCTGATGCTTTAATCGCCGCCGGGAAGGGAACGCTTGTCAGTTCAGAGGGGCGCACAGGTGGAGATTTCGCGCTTGTCTCCGGCCTCCCGCCGCGGCTGCTGACGGGCTGAGATGGTCCGGATGGCGTCTGGCCATCGCCTCGGACTGGATCAGAGCAGCTGATGACCAGCTGCGGTGTCAGCACAAACCACACAGCCACGGCCTCCGGCAGCGGCAATTCTGGGATCTGGTGACGCCTGCAGCCTGGAGATGTACAACTGCCGCATGGCCGCTGGGATCGTCTCGAGTGAGGCTCAGATGTTTGGCTAGTCACCACGAGCAGCCGGAGGGCGGGGCACCTGAACTGCTGGGGAAACTGTGCGGGTCCTTCCGTGCCGTGAGAAAAGTGCTTGAAAACTTCCCGATCCAATGCTTTTGTTGATACTGGAATATTCTGCATGCAATCTCACTCTGCCAGCTGCCAACACCAGAGTGAGGATGGCCGGATGGCCGTGTCAGCTAGAGACCTGGCGAAGGCCGCAGGCTGGGGCGGGGCCGCCCCAGCTGGAGCCAGCTACTACCGGCGCCGGGTCGCGGTCGGGGTCGCAGGTTCGGGGTCTGACCGGGGGTCGGGGTTTGACCGGGGATCGGGATCACGGGTCGGGGTCGGGAGCGGGGGTCGGGCTGGGAACGAGCTCTGCGTGACGGGTGAGCAGGGCCCGTCACCAGCGGCCGGCGGCGGCGGGCCGCCACCCCTCGACACCTCGCGGCAAAAACGGCCGACACTCGACAGCCAGACGGACGAACAGACAGACAGACGGACGGGCTGAGGGACGGACGGCCTCGGGCGGACGTCGGTAATGGGGCTTACCTGCTCTCCAGATGCCCCCCCCCCCCCTCCCTCCCCTCCTGGATGCCCCATCACGCTGTCAGGCGACAGCAACGGATCATACACTATAGGCACGATGCGGTCAATCAGAAAAAAACTGATTATAGGATAGCTGAATCATGAGCAGTTGAATAGAACGCGCGCCTTGTCCCCAGCCTGCAGGTCATGAGTTCAGAATTCTTAAGCTGAGTTATCATCCTTCAATATGTCAGGAGATAGCGGTGAAGCGATCAGCTCATCGTCATAAGCACAGTTTTAAACGTTGAGCATTGGTGCTATAGCCAATATTGACGATATGACATTGTAAAGCCCGTACCTCCTGGTACATTACAGGCCGATATATCAGCATAGGAACACAACACTCGCAATACCAGACAACTAGGACCTGAAACCCTTTCTTACTTGCATAAAGTACAGCATATCGCACAGAAAAAAATGTTACTTGGAATCAGACGCGTTATCACTCTGATCCGTAGGGCCTTAAATTTACCTGAATTCGACGCATAGATGAGACAGCACTCATGGCCTTATTCCTCATAGAATACACAGAAGAATGGAGAGATAGATGTGATATTTCGGCTACATGCCTTTATCGAAACAAGAAAAAAACGTTTCGATAAAGACATGTAGCCAAAATATCAAATGTATCTCACCATTCTCCTGTTTTTTTTTCTAAGAGAAATAAGAAATAACCATACGAATAAGAAGATACAAGTCAACACTCTGCCATCTATATGCATGATATTCCTCGCAAATGCATCTAACAACCTATGAGCGTGACTCACAAGGCATACGCTGATTTGTGGAATTTCAAGTTACATTTCTTTCGGTTTTGGAAAAGCGTGATACCAGCATGGGTGCATGGGCGCCGCGGCATGGGTCATCATACTGGTTTTCCAAAACGTTCCTGCGTGCCCAAGTGGTGCCTTACGTTTGGTGCGAACAATCTTACCCTGGCTTAGCGCCATTCTCATTCGAGTACATTGTTGAGCGCGTCGCCCTCTAACTGACGCGTTGCACACTGCCGAACCCAGCCTTTTCCTTCATAGCGTTCAGTGCAGGCCCGTGACCAGGCGGATGCGCTGGGTGCCCGTGCATCCACTGGGATCTGGGATGCCTCCCCCACCCACGTTCTGTGCAATCCATGTACTCAGGGTATAGGGGTTTGACGACGCGTGGATGGTACCCTTCCCCTTGATGAGATCTGCAACAATGGTAACGGAAAAGCATTTGAGTGCACAGCTTCCACTGCGCGAACACTTGGCTTCTGCCGATCGCTTTTAAGTGCCAGCGGTCGAGTGCTCCGCACTGCGAACACGCGTTAGATCACGATCGACAGTCGCAGGCGATTTTGAGTGTCAGGAGTTGTCAGGTTATGCTACATGGGGACAGCCATGGAGACGAATGGGGACGGCCATGGAGAAGGAGCCGGCTAATCTTCGGCTGCGCCCAGCCGCAGTTTCTTGCAATGGCTTTGGGTTCGGCTTCCGCTTGTGCCATTTGTCACGACTAGCTTCGGCCTTGCGTCATTTTCAACACCTGCTTTGGTTTCGACTTCGAACAATGTTCGAATTATGGGTTTGGTTTAAAAGCAGCCTCTCCCCCCATGCCTGCTCTCCTGCTTGCTCGGCCTCATGCGATCTTGCTCGGCTTCGTCATGATGACTTTGTCACTAAAGCTGCGGCTTTACTTCACAAAAAGCATGCGAGCCTGTCCGGTCATTACTATATGCCTACCAGGCAGGTTTTCCAGGCGGCGATACATACATTCCAGATGGCAAAAAACTGCACGCCATTCTCAGCATCAATAACACCCTGACAACAGCTGGGGGACTAATTTCCCGAAGCGGTGTGTACATACCAGCACACAAGGCGAGCGGCCTTAGAGCAGCATTCCATCCGTAAGCCACGCCTCGTCTCAATCGCTCAGCAAAACTCTGACGATAGGCTTTGTTCCCGTGATTTTAGTATGCGCGAAAATGGTTCTCGTTTAGAAAACAGCCTGTGCACTAGATGCAGCTTCAGCTCGGCCTCCTGATTTTAAACTGTCTTCCAACCTGTTATCTTAAGCTGATATGCCCGGCTGGCTGACCCAGGTCAAATGGTGGCGTTTGTATATTTTCTTAAATGACGTCCGATTTGGCACCATTTAAGAAAATACGCAATGACGGCTTATAAAGAGCAAATGATTTCCCTATCGAAATCCCTTAACTATGCATTTTACACGCAGTGTTGGGAGGATTCCTTTGTAATTTTTTTGCATTTAGCAGGTACCTAGTGACACGCCTAGCACTCCAGACAACTGTTTTGAAGTATGCAGGGAACATGTTGCTGTTTTTTTTAAAATAAATGTCCATGTTTCTCATCAGTGTTAAACTACGAAACAGTCAGGTCGTAAATATCACAACGTAATCACTTTCTTTGAAGAAATCGGGCTCAAAACCCAGCATTCCAGCTTTTTAATTTTTTTCCATGCCGTTACCCAGGAACAGGTAACCAGGAGTACCCCGCCCTCAATCCCAGCGACGCAGAAAACCGTACGTTAACACCAGAAAACAGGAAATTAAGTCGCGGCACTCCTAGCTAGGAAGATGAAACAAACGTAAAGAAGCAGGCGAAGAGGTGATGCAGACCCCAAGGAATTGTGTTATGTAATAGGCAGGGAAAAATCATAGATGAGAAGGTTTAAAGTAGTCATTAGCCAAAGTCAGCTAATGACAGCCCGCTATAACCGCCCAATGAGCTACAACCATTCAATTCACCGTGTTAGTAAGGGCTATACAGTCACACAAGTTGGACGGGGCAATTACCTGGTCATTTTCGTGCTGGGTTTTGAGCTGGATGTCCAGGGAGCCCACCCAGCTAAGCAGAGCTTGTTGCTGGGAGAAATCTCGGAGCCAGTGCCGTGAATTTGGATATATATGAATGACTTTAACTATATCAGAAAGTGATTATGGAACATGAAGGGGGTCAAATATGAAGTGCTTTGGATATGTGCAACGCAAAGGATTGCAATGCCTTCAAATATGTTGGTTACGTTAATATGTATTCACAAAATGCTTGCGGATGATGTTCTTAACGATGGTTTTTGATACACAGATATCAGTGATTTTTGGAAAATATGAAACCATAATGTCGTTCCACAGCTTAGGGCCAATCGTTCCACAGCTTAGGGCCAATCGTTCCACAGCTTAGGGCCATCCACAGCTTGGGGCCAGTTGGTGGTGGATGAAGGAGAAAACTGTGATCCAACATGCCAGCTTTTTAACCCCGATAAATTCGATGTCGTTTCTGCTGTGGTTCGCTGGCCCATAGCGCTCTTAAAGATGGTATTAAGTGTTACGTCTATAACGGATGCGGTTAAAGTGGCAGCT